GAGGCCCAAGGTTTTACCCAGTCTTTTATCTCCCTAAGTTTGACAGAAGTCGATTCCCATTCTCTTTGCTATAACTGCCAAGCTTTCTTTTATGCCAAGCTGTCACATTGGATTTTTGTGTTTTTGTAATTTTACCACCATTAAGGACAGCCTGCTTTGCCAAATGGTCCACCTTCTCATTGCCAATTATTCCGCAGTGTCCAGGAATCCACATGAATACTACTCTATTTCCCTGATTTTGCAGAGATTCAATGGCAAATAGGATGTCTTGTATCAATGGATGTACAGAAATGTTGATTTCAAGTGCCAATAGCGCCGACAAAGAGTCAGCACTTCGGTAGAAGGTTGCCTGAGAAATTTCCTCAAACATTTCTTCCTTTCCCTAAATGCACTTTCGCACTCTGCTGTCCACCATGGTACAGGATTGATTTTCATATTATAAGGAAAATTTCTAGATTGAGGAATGGTAGCTTCAGCTGCTTTAACTATGCATGAATTTAATTCTAAAGTCAAATAATCGATGTCTGTGGCATTTAGTTTTAAATTGGACAGATCGACTATGTTTTGGAAAAGGGGCCAGTTTGCTTTGTCTATTTTCCACTTACATGGTCGCTAATTTGCCAATACAGTGTTATTACGTTCAATGATTATTGGAAAGTGGTCCCTTCCATGAGTGTCATCTATTCTGTACCATGTCAAACGGGAGTGAAGAGTTGGTGATACAAGACTCAAGTCAATATAAGTTCCAGATCTCATACTAAGATGAGTTGGGATAGAGCTATTAAAATGATTTAAGTTGCATAGATTCATAAAATTTTCAATAACTCTGCCATGCTTCCAAGATGCTTCCACCTCATAGTGGATTATGTCCATTTAGGTCGCCTAATATTAGAACTGGTTGAGGGAGGTGATTATATACATAAATTATTTATTTATTTCGATTTTTTGACCAGGAGAAATGTATAGGGATCACACTGTACATTGGAATGGGGTTAATAGTCTAGCAGCTATAATTTGTAAATCAGAACCTGTGTCTATTTCAAAATATGGAATTTCATTTTTAATCAGTATACTCACACCATTTGCCTGCCCGTATGGTCTTTTCTGAGTACATCGTATTGTCTGGAATAGAATTTTTGATTGGGTTTAAGGTTTGTTTCTTGTAGGCATAATATAGATAAATTTAAATTTGTTAACAAATATTCAATATCATTTTTTCTATGTATAGCTCCATTTACATTCCATTGCGGTTCACATTTATTAATCCTTTTAGAATGTACATTGCCTATATTTCAAATTTACCTATTTGTTTATATTAGAACCAATTTAACTATTGATAAGAATTGTGTGGATTTATATATGAACTGGTGGGTGATTACATAAATAGTGATTTTATCTAATTTAACAGTTTATACTAATTAGTGAGGTAGACTAGGTTGGGTTCTTACTGGGTTTTTCAGTTTTTTTAAGTTTAATTTTATGGTGGTTAGATGTTGAGTTGTTTTACGGATTTACTGAATTTTGCATGCTGCTGTTGGCACTATTTTCACTTGATGAAGAATTTTGAGAAATTGGCCTCTTTAGGGTTACATAAACATTATTAGGGTTAGCGTTTTCAACCTGGACCATTGTTTTGGTATTAATGGCTTGTTAAGAGTAAGGAGTGGCAGTTTGTTTTCACTTTTTGGTCGGTCATTAGTGTTCTCTGCTCTGGTGGTGGACAAGGATTCTATTTGCTTTAAGGCTTGTTCAAATTTATTCATTTTGTTTGCCAGATCAATGACAATGTTGCTTAGTTTATCAACTTGTTCCACTAAAAGGTTTGAACTCAAAGCATGTATGAAGTCCATGTTGAGAAGGGGAGGAAGAAGTATTGGATGTGGTCTGATTGGTGGACTCAGAATTAAATCCAGACGGGATTTTGGCAATTGGCATATTAACGACTTGTGAGTAAGAACGTGTGCCTGGAGTTTATGAGTTTGCCGCGAAGAAGTGATTCGGCATTTTTGTAAGATGTTTTTTCACTAATCTGAATTTTTTATATGTATTTCCCTCTTATATAAACAGGGCATGACCTATCTTTTTCATCATGGTCAGCTTCTCCGCAGTTTCCACAATTTTTAGTTTGACAAAATTTATTGACATGTCTGAATCTGAAGCATGAAAAACATTAGGGGTCTAGGTTCAAGAGGCCTAACTTGCACAGAAAGAAATTCGAAAATAACTTTGTCCAGAAGTTCTTGTCTTTCAAACGTCAATATTAGCTTAGGAGTTCGGACCTTAATATTATTTTGTTTCCTAAACATACATTGTACTTTTATAACGTGTTGTTTGGTTTAGTAACTCAGGGGCAGTTATTATGACTCCTTTCGAGTAATTAAGAGTTTTATGAAGATTGAATTTAACTGGAATGTCTTCAAGGGTTTTCATACCATTCAGATTTAGAAAAGAAGTTATTAAATGCCTTTTTGGATGGGTGATTTTCATCTAAACTCATTCTTACAAACTTTGGGCCTACCCATTTCATTTTTCGTTTAGGAAATGTGTTGGGACTCGATATCAGGAGGTTCGGGGTCAAAGTGCATAATATGTGACTCCATAAGGGAGACGAAATAAAACAGAAAAACTTTTTTTTAGATGAAAGTATGTAGTTGATCTTAGAAATCGAATTAATTTTTTTTGAAAATTACAAGACTCAAAAACAAAATTCCCATAATATATGTAAGCAGGAAAGAAGTAAAACCTGGAGAAAAAATACATTTTTAATGTTCTATTTTCATCAAAAAAAGAATAAAAAAGGCCTGGATCAAGGCGGCACTGGCTGCCCCTTTGGTCAACGCCAAGCTAGCAATACCCACCGCAGCTTTTCTAAATTTTTTGTACGTTATCATCACTTTGTCAAATGTTCTTCTGTATCTATTACAATTAACAGTTTATTTTCGAACTCTTTGACGCCTGATTGTATTTAGAAACATTACAGAATCTGAAAAAAAAAATTCAAGATGACAAAATAAATATAAATTGCCGTCACAATATCATGACCTCTCTTATTGTCAAAAACGTCGCCTTCAAATCTGAAGAATGGGTCATTTGACATACCAATGACGTCACCGGTGCCAATATGTTTTGCGGTTAACATTTGTTCTCGCAACCCAAGTGATGTTGTATGGGGGGGGGGTCTTAGACGTCACAAATAAAACGTCATTTTGTGATAAATTTTCAGAACGAAAAAAAAGTAGTATTTTTAATTTTATCATTTGTCTATTTTTAAACTGGAAACCACCCGAATCAAGATGGGTTTGTTGGGAATTCATTTAATAAAAATAAAAATGAGCGCATCGAAATCCAATCAGGAGGTAGTAATAATAATAATCTTTATTCACGGCTTTCGCCATTTTACATCACATACAATACATCACATGCAATAAATCGTTTATGTTGATAGTGCGATCGAGTGGGCGGAGGAAATCCGAAACCCTGCCCACTTGATCACCGAGGCCAGGAACGGAAAAGTCATCATCAACCGCCAGTTTCACTTATTAAATTATTTAATTAACAAAAAAACAGAAAATAAACAAAACGGCTATTTCTCTCTAACACTTGTCGTACCGAACGAAACGCGCCAACTTTATAAAAAAGCATTTTAAAACTAACGCTTTACTATTGAGCACAATTAAATCCGAATATATAATTATTATTATTCATATGTGAATATTAATTTCACATCGACTTAATTATTGCCTTGCATTTGGTGATCAGCAGTGATAGCATGACAAATGATGTTTTACAAGTCCCGACGACTGTGACAAACGGACTGTGAATGACGTCTCACACAAAGAACAGCCATAACTCGGACGTCACACGGTGTAGGTTATGGCCTAGGCGGTTTTTCTCTCTCTATGACGTCTCAACGTTTCTAGCGCTATTCTTTGACGTCGTATTATTAAATAGGCATTTTCCTTTTACATATTGACGTTAATCGATGGTATTGTATTGTACCATATTTCTATCGGAAGTGGATGAATTTTTGTGGAAAAAAAGAAGGGCACGAAGTCCCACCCGGCGATTTAAGTCCCCTTTCTCCCGTCCTAACCCAATGTCCGCAGTTTACCGTACAAAATCGTTGATTTGTACAAGGGTTTTAAATTAAAACTTAAAATATATATATACAACAAAATAATAATAACAATTGCATCCCCTCTTAAAGCGCTGAATATTGGGAAATCCATTTACACGAGCTTTTTAATTTTTTATTCATATAGACCGGTTGTCCAACACACAAACCCTGGCAACCTGGCATGTTCGCCAAAGCGCAACGCAGTTTGTCAAATAGAACACCAACAAATTAATAAAAATACGAGCAACTGGATTTCCGCCTATTTTTATTTCCCCACTAGACCATACTGTTTTAAATATCGCCAAATTTGATTGTGTCTGTGACGTCAGAAGTCATGCCTAAACCGAGATTGTTTCACGTGACGTCAGAAGGTATCCTTTTGATGTCATTGAGTAATGCCTGTGATATCAGAAGGGACGTTTACGGTCTGCACGTCAGATTGTAATCACCCGGGACGTCAGACTGTGACGTCATAAGGAACGCTTATAGCGTCACAAGTTGTTCAGAATTGTTTTTATGAAAACTATTTATTTCAATAATTAATTCTATCAGTCTATATTTTTTTGTTCGAATGATCACAACCCTGTCCATTGGAACAGAAGCCTAATTTTAAAAGTTAAAAAGGTTTTGGAAAAACAAAACTCATTCATAAAAATATACGAATTTATCAAAATTATTTTAAAATTTCGATTCTTAAGGATACCCACATGGCCGGATTTAAATGTCGCCAAGTACAATTTCCATGTCTAGTTTTACCTGGGGTAGGCTAAAATCCCCCTACCACAATCACAGATAACTGTGTCACCTAGTGGATTTATATCTGAAAGGTTAGTGAAGGAAGAATATATTACTGGGGTCGCCTTCAGACGAATCAAAGGACTTCTTTACTTACAAATTTTTGTTTATTCATGCATACAATGTACATATCAATCACTAAATGTCATTACAAAAAAAAAGAAAAAAAAAGAAGAAAGGAATAGAAAAAAAACTTTGATCGTTGTACAACTATGGCCGTCATTTGAACCGTGCTTTGTATTTACAAAGGCTGAGTGAAAGAAAAAAAAAAAAAACATCGTTGGAAGACTCGAAAAATATACGCCAACTGTGCCAAGAATGGGGTCCGCCCGGCCTCGCCGATTATCACAGTACTTCCTGAGCTGGGGTGGCGGCCTTCGTGAACCCTCCAAGTGCACCGAAATCAGCCGAAAGACACGGGGTCTTTTTAAAATTATTTTATATTTATTTTCGAGTTTTTGTAATTATTTTTATTAATTGACAATATTTCTATATTTTTAATTTGCGCCGAGGGGTGGGGATCTGGTGTGGGACGTCGGATTTTAAGGCTAGTGACGTCAGATTGTTATGCTCGTGATGTCAGAAAGAACGTCTGTGACGTCAAATGTAAGGCTCATGACGTCAGTTGTAAGGCCCGGGACGTCAGGTTGTTATGCTCGTTTCAGTCTCTGACGTCAAATTGTATTGCGGTTACAAGATACCCCTTATCTCTAACCATTTTTTCGAAAAAAATTCTAATTTTTAAAGCTGCTATTTTATCAACAAAATACACTAAACACTACGTTTTGTCTTTTTTTTGTGTGTTTAAACATACACATATACATATATTAATAACAAAATAATTACACAATAAAAAAACGCACCAAAGCCTGTTTAAATATTTTACACAATTTTTAAAGATAACAATTTGATTATTTGAATTTTTCTCCTCCAAAAATAACAAATACAAACAATAAAAACAATTCTAACGCTGATAACTATAATGCGCGTTCTCCCATACTTAAACCGTCGAATGACGCCAGCTGTCGCGAGTGGGGGGCGACCAATCGCTGATAACGCCATCTCTCCCCAATTCAAAGTTGAGGTCACACAGTGGCGAGAAGTGAGGGCACTCCTACTATGACGTCATTTACGGTGAGCGCGACGAGGATCCTGCGAGCGGCGAAAACCGGCCTTAGCTGAACGCGCGCAACGTCCCCAGGGTTGGAAAAAATTAATGTAAAAAATTACAAAAAAAATTATATATATGTAATAAAAACACTAACAATAAAAATACACACTATTCACACTAAGTAAAATATTGGAAGACTTTCTTCACCCAAATTGAAATGAGTCTTAAGGAATTTCAAAACCTGCTTTAAAATATTTTTTTTAAACTTAATTTAAAAAAATATATATTGTCATGTCTCACACAAGACCCGGATAGAAAATGAGCAATTTTTAGTTTTGTTCCATCGCCTTAAGGTACTCACGACTTGGCCCCCCCTCGCTACTCTATGACCACCGAATGATGTCAGTAGCTATAGAGTGGTGAAGGTTTAGAAACTGCCAATGACGACATAAACGCTATGTTGGGTTGAAAAGTGGGGCGAGTTCTCCATCCAATTATAAATGGTTAGATGTAAAAAGGTGAGGGGACAGATTAACGCTGAATGGCGGCTCAGAGTTGAGTGCATTCCTCCCTGCACTTGAAATGATGTCACGGCAACCGAATGACGTCACAGATCTGAGCCCCGCATCACTCCCTTCCACCACTTGTAAAGACGCCACGCCAGCCCACACTCCTAAGTTAACGACGTCATTATAACTCCCGGTGTTATGGGAACGATCGCGCGTTTTTATTTTTGTAGAAAAGAAATTAATTTTTAAGACACCTTCGGTAGTATTGAGTTATATTTCATATCACAGATGAACACAGATCCGGCCGGTGTTTCCTTTGCACGATTTGGTGGTCGGAGCTCACAGGATCCTCTTTGACTTTACAAAATTAATAGAATCAAATGATATGCGTGTTTTTTTGTTGAAATCGTTTGAAAATTATTCGTTGAAAAGTCGTTTTATTGTTTTGTCTATTTGCGTGTGTTATTGACGTTAATCGCGCTTTTTTCCGTTGGAGACGGCGGATCCGTTCAGCCTTTTGTCCGACCTCTCCTCGCCGACGTAGGTCTTCTTGTAGAAGTCGTTGAAGAGGTAGTAGAAGAAGATGGCGTTGGGGAGGACGATGACGACCGACCATTTGGGGTAGTCGCAGTCGCTCCAGAGCAGTTGGAGGAAGTGGTAGAAAGTCAGGCAGAACTGGATCTGGAAATAATTAAAAATTGAACGAAAAGTCAAATTGTCGGTCAAGGTATCGATGTACCAGCTGAAGCGTCGTGAGGTACTTCTTCCACCAGAGGTACTTCTGCAGGCCCGGCCCCATGGCGGCGAGCATATAATAAGAGTACATGATGATGTGAACGAAGCTGTTTATGAGGCCAATAAAGGATCCGTGGCCACCAGGGTAGTATTTGACCGCGCCCCACGTTATCATCGGCATAGTCGTGTGATGGTAGAGGTGGAGAAAGGTTATCTGCTTCTGCTTTTTCCTCAGGACGAAGAAAACCTGCGGGAAGGGAAAGGAAAAAAGTTAAATTCTGCCTTGTATTTGCTTTGAGTCTAAAGGATGCTTACCGTGTCGAGAAGCTCAGATATCTTGGCGAGGAAGTAGATGTAGAAGCCGCGGGCAATCCTCATCGTCTCGGGCGTCACTGACCAGTCGACCGGCTCGCAGCGGAAATAACTGTATTTCGTGAGCCAAATAGCGTCAAGGGCCTGCGGAAAAAGACGCGTTTTTCTTATAAATGTGTCTCTATAACCAACCAAGCAACTTCCCGTGAAGGAGGTTTTGGTGAGCGAAGACGTCATTTAAACGCTCCATGACGTCATGAACTATAAAAACGGCCGCCATTGTGCGATGAAATCGAGAATTTTTAGAAAAACGCCATTTTGCGATGACGTCATGACAAACACGTCACACTAGCCGTTTGCGACGGATTGCCGCCATAGTGTGATGATTTGATGAGACATTTGTCACGGCGGTCCCCACCAAATGACAATGGATGTCGTCACGGATTATCAACTCCCATCCTCAGATGGAACGCTGCCCATAGTGGGATTACGTCACAGCATGTTTTAAAATTTTTGTTCGACGTAACTTTGCTCAAGTCATCCCAATGATGACCAATTTTCTTTTTATTCCACTCCGGTCTATCCACCGAATTTAAAACATGCGCAATTCAATACTGAGTTTGTAAAAATATTCTTTAAAAAACAATCTCATTAACTTTCCTCATGGTTGGATCTCATCGGTTTCCATCTTGTCCTTGGCCATCAATCGTCGTCAATATTCAATCTATCCAATTCATTAGTGGCTTTGTCCAAACAACTTTTCTTTTCACCAAAAAAATCAATAAGTTGTCCAAAATAAGAATCTCACTGTCTAGAGTTAATTTGTGAGATAAAATTGCCTAAAAAAACCCCGAGTAGGTCGAAAATACTCTGTTTTTTATCTCTGCACAGATTGTCCAAAATATTTTCTTTTTGTTTCCACCTCAACAATTCTCGACGAAACGTTGTTGTGTTTTCCTGATTATGTGGTTTAGTTGTATTACTGCGTGTATCGCATCTGAAAATCTCACCAATTGCTAACTTTTTTAATAAGTAGCAAAGGAAATAATTCAAAGTAGCCTTTCTTACCAAATTTCAAATATTGTCAAAACAGGTGTTCAATCGGAGTATTTTCGACCAAAAACTGTGACTGATTTGGATTTAAAAATGGAAAATCCCTTACTTACCCCCACTCTTCTGTTAAATAGTCACGTTCCCCCACTCCTCCGTTGATTTGTCCGGTCAATTGGTCACGTTGTCAATAGTCACGATTTACACCAATTGGTGGATTTTTTCCCAACCCTTGTTCGGAAAAAGTCTCACCAAAATTTGACGAGGCAAATATCGTTCACAAATTCCAATTACCAAACGCCAATTCAATAATATTTTCATTCAGCGAGAACAAAAAAAGCCTGATAAATCAAAATTAATATAACAAATCATAAATGGTGTTAAATTGCCATATTTTCACGAACATTTAACAAAATTTTCACTCTGATCCTAGAACCGCCAAATTCAATAGTATTGTTGTTCAAATGGAACGATTCACTGATATTGGAAAAATAGGGTGGATTTTTTTAAGCAAAAACTTCACAAGATTTTGTAAATAAAAGTTTCGCCGAATGTTGTTCATATATTTTATCATATATTAAACCATGGACGGGCTTTTACCGGTGAAAATTTCGAACAAATAGATGACGATATTAATCATCAATTTCATCACACAGGTGTAATGCCGTGATTGTGCGATGGCATAGCCGCGGCATCTATAACCACTATACCATAAATGCCGCCGTTGTAAGATGACAAGGCATTCCCCCACGACTTGTTGCCTGTCACATCAACGGCCATGTCACGATTATCAACCCTCATCATTCCGATGGAACGCCGCCATTTTATGACGTCACGGCGTCCATCATCTTCCCTAAATGCTGTCATTGTTATATGACTTCATAACTGTTGTGACAGAATGTCACCAGCAGCTCTTTTCATTTTATACAACACCCCATACATTTTTTCCAGTGGGTATTTGTGACTCCCTCCCAATGACGTGTTGACAAAAAATTCTCTTTACCTCGTATACTAAGAAGACCGAAACGCAGACCTGAAGGGCGTTGTAGATGACGAGAGTCTTGTGGAGGTTGAAAGGTTTTCTGTCTGCCATGTACCACGGTCCGAGGTAGTTGACGAAGATGAGGTACGCTGCCATGATGGACAGGCCCGGGATCGGCGACGTCAGGAGAGGCCAGTCGTTCGTCCTGGGGTCTGAGAGCGTCAAGTTTAACAAAAAAAATCAAACTTAATAATAATAATAAAAAAAAAATAATGGAAAAGGGCGAACACTCACCTGCTAGCTCCACGAAGAGGTAGTTCCAGTAGTCCTTGAACGGTGCGGACTCGTTGTGCGAAGCATATTTTGCCTGAGGTGGAGACAAAAAATATATTAAAAAATAATAACAGTCAGAAGGGGTGAGAAAAGAGCAAGGATAGAAGGGTCCAAAACAAAATAGCCCTTGAGAAGACAAAAAGGCATGAGTTTGTCCCGCGTTCGTCGAATTTACGGATTTTCCCCATCAAAATTCTTTAAAAAAAGCTTCATAGGAGAGGACTTTAAAACTTTTACGCCCTCTTTTCTTTTAAAAATACAGTCTGAAAAGAAAAAAATAATAAAAAGTTACACATTAATCTTTCATGTTTCTAAACTTTTTATACAAAAAAACAACAACATAACCAAACCTCTCCCCATCCAAATTTAGCCATAACCGAGCTACAGTGATGACGTCATGACATAACCCAAACACCAACAAAAGCTGTGTGATGACGTCATGACAAAATCCCCACCACTCGATCGGAACGCGCCATTGTTTGAATGCGTCACGACAGCCCCCAACCACACGGATGAATTAACACCATTGCTTGATGACGCCATGACATCACAACCCGCGACCCTTTTATTTTATAGCCTTTACAAGCTTCAACGTACAAATGAACGCAGTAATTTGGTTAAACCCTCGTCAATAATAGAACATCGGCCATCGGGTAATGACGTCATGACACAACCTACTCTGCTGGAACCCCGCCTTCGTTTGATGACGTTACAACACCGAAACCACATTGTTGGATCGCCGCTATTGTTTGATGAGGACATGACATCCCAAGCACGCATGAAGCGCCGCTTTTTTTATAGACGTCATGAATTAAAGCCTCACCACATAAATTGGAGAATAATGGAACGCCAATGAAAACCTAGGCACACTGTTGAACCACCGGCCATTGAGTGGTGACAAAATGACAGGCTAACCAGGCGCCATTGTTTGATAATGTCTCGATACCCCAGCCACACGGTTGGATCCCTATTGGTTTATGACATCACGACATCCCAACCTCTTGCCGTCATTGTGCGATGACGTCACGGGGAACCAGGCGCCATTGTTTGATAATGTCTCGATACCCCAGCCACACGGTTGGATCCCTATTGGTTTATGACATCACGACATCCCAACCTCTTGCCGTCATTGTGCGGTGACGTCACGGGGGAGCGTCGTGGCCGCGCAACGATTAAGGCGTTCATCAGTGTCAGGTAAAGGTCCCGGGTTCGAATCTAGAGGCCCTGCTTCTTCGAACCCGACATACTTACAAATGGGCTATTTTTCAAAACCACCGGTACCCCGAGGGTTGATATAACCTCTGCTGTTGCGAACCCTCGTAAAAAAATGACGTAACAACATCCTCACCACCATAAACCGCTGGAACGCCGTTTATTATTTTGTCTTTCTTTAAGTTTTCTCCGTTTTTTAATTTGTTACAACGTTATACGGTTGACATTAGCATATTCATATGGCTTTACTTTAATCAACAAATGAATTCATACATGTAAGCTCACTGGCAAACTGCAGCCAGAGCGTGTTTGACGCGAAAGCCGTAATCCCTCATATTCATATGTTATTAGTTGCGTGTATGCGGTTGGTTATATGCGTCGAAGAAGTCTCGATGACAAGAGGCGACGCGATTTTTTTTGTTATTCCTCATATGCGGTTTTACTTTCACCCCCTCACTTTGTAATTACAACGCAAATTATGTCAGCATATATGAGGCGGAGTAATTAAAAAAAAAAAAAATTGAATGAATTTTGTTTAAAGTTAAAAAATGGTGAAAACCTCAGCTCATGCCTACATGGAGATGGCATATCAAGTTCCGTCTCCATATATGCCTAAAGTTCTGTTATCAAAATAACAAATCTGAATATATGTGCATATGTGGGTTTAGATAGTAGAATTTTTTAAATCCAAGTATGAGAAGAATACATATAAGTGTTACCTGTTAGTGCTACCTGCATATATTATTAAACAACCTTATAGATTTGTACTCATGAATCGGCAAACCATGCATATATGTGGTTTTCAAAACGCATCCAAAATAATTTTGCATGTTAGATGTACTAAAGAGTCTGCATTTATGCATTTGAACCTGTTATAATTGAACTGAATTGCAGTCCATACGCTGCCCAATGTAAAGAAACATACAATTTGTCGATTCAGCCTAATTAATTATAGGTGTGGACTTCACAATAATTTTGTTTTTAAACAGGTTTTTTTATCCGAATTTTTGTACGATAAATATATGTCCAATCTGCATATATGCATGTGCTTATATGTCCATTATAAATTGCCAACAGCGACGTTTTAAGGCAGTCACACCTTCTCCTTTTCTGTATTATACTCTAGAGTTGGTTCATACTTATATGTTTCCTATCTGCATATATCCATATGCTTATATGTCCATTATAAATTGCCAACTGCGACTTTTTAAGGCAGTTACACCTTCTCTTTCTCTGTATTAGACTCTAGAATTGGTTCGTACTTATATGATTCCAATCTGCATATATGCATATGCTTATATGTCTTGCCAACTGCGACGTTTTTAGACAGTCACACCTTCTCCTTCTCTGTATTAAATGCTCGAGTTTACTTTTATATTTCCTATCTGCAAATATGCATATAGGAATAAGTTCAATATAGATTGCCAACTGTGGGGTTTTATATACGAGTCGCATCTCCTCCCTCCCACTATACAGTGCTAGGGTAAAATATTCAAGCTTATATGTTTCGAATTTGCATATATGGTTTATATGACTATTATGTGTTGAGTAATAACAATCCTTACGTTTTTTAATCTAGCCATAATTTTGAAAAATACCTCTGATTACGCAGTTACACCTTCTCTTTCTCTGTATTAGACTCTAGAATTGGTTCGTACTTATATGATTCCAATCTGCATATATGCATATGCTTATATGTCCATTATAAATTGCCAACTGCGACGTTTTTAGACAGTCACACCTCCTTCTCTGTATTAAATGTTCGAGTTTACTTTTATGTTTCCTATCTGCAGATATGCATATAGGAATATGTTCAATATAGATTGCCAACTGTGGGGTTTTATATACTAGTCGCATCTCCTCCCTCCCACTATACAGTGCTAGGGTAAAATATTCAAGCTTATATGTTTCGAATTTGCATATATGGTTTATATGTCTATTATGTGTTGAGTAATAACAATCCTTACGTTTTTTAATCTAGCCATAATTTTGAAAAATACCTCTGATTACAATACAGTTGATAACCATGGTAAACCCTCTTTCACTTAAATCTCCAGATAATATGGGACGATACATTGATAAATAATCCTTCATTGATTATCATAGAGAACAGATTATCGATGGTAAAATTGTTCTCCTTAGTTTTTTCTAGAGAATATTGGATAATAATGATGAAAAATTATTCGTTAAGGTTTCCATAGTGAACGGTTGATAACCGTGTTGTAACCTCTCTCACTTGGTACTCTCTAGGAAAGCGGTTAACCGCGAGAAAACCTCTTTTACACCTGAAGTAAACTGAATATTCACGATAAAATCTCTTTCTATTCAGTTTTCCTAAGAAACGGTTGATGACCATCATATAACCTATACATTCGGGGGCCTTTCGGGAACCAAAGATATCCATGATAAAATCTGTTTCACTAGGTTTCTCTATTAAAAGGTGGATAGCCATGAGAAAACCTCTTCTCATTTTATAACCATGATAATACTTCTCTCACTTAGGTTTTCTAACGGAACGTTGGATAACCTTTGCGATACCTTCCCGCTTGTCTTATAACCTTCATTTGTTAAGCCAGCGTCATCGTATGTAGTGAATTGGAAAGAGCGTGTGAAAACCTCTCCACTTCAATGATTTCCATTGGATAACAGTTTCATAACCTTCAAATAACTCGCTTTGTAAACTGTTTTCAACAGTTTTGACTTGTCGTATTTGGCAACCTTCACAAAGCTTTTTCACTTTTAAATTCTCTGCGATTGACATCAGCGATATGACCTTCTCATGAAGTTTTTGCGTTTAAATTTATTGTTTTAACCCACTACTCCTCGTGTACACGTTCTTCACTTTCGTTTCGTTAGAATCGTTGGATACCCTTGACGAACCTCTTCACTCACGTTACATGGTCCTATTGTTTAACCTGTATATAACCTTCTCAATTCAGTGGGAATCATGATTATAACCTTATCAAAAATTTTCAGTTTTGCTATATTCACTGCATCCCGTGTATGTGGGGCACTTTCATATTATGGGAGGCAATGGAAACCTTGACGAAACCTCTTCAAGTTACATACCTTGCGCGTATAACTGCCCTCGAACCTTCTAATAAACTATCCAGTTTTGTAATAACCACCATTTGTAGTAGTATGATCAGCTTTATAAACTTCTAATGAACTATCCACTTATATCCAGCATTTCGAGTACCTAGTCGACTTCCGTGCAGGTGCTTAGGATAACATTCTCGTAACCTATCACGCTAACTTCCTCATATTTTTGGTTCTAAGATGATACTTCTATAACCTTATAACTTTTGTTATATCCAGTGCATCCCATGTACTTCTTTACTTCCGAGTCTTCAGCGGGCGAATATGCTCTTCACTCACGTTGTATTTAGTAGGTTATAGTGGATAACTGCCATAAAACCTTCCCAATTGCAATATCTTTTTTTATATCAACTGCATCTCATGTGTTTATTTCATTTTATCATGGTCATGGGAGGCAATGGATAACTTGACGAAACTTTTTACTCATGTTATATGTGTTGACCGAGGTCAGTATAACAAACACAGATCATCTTCTGTCCTGTCACCTCATGTTTATAAGGTGACACTTTCATAACCTTTACATTTTTTTTATGACCCAGTGTATTATCTTTTTTCACTATTTACGTGCAATTAGTGTTTATTTTTTTTAAAACCCAAATGTTGTACCTTCATATCGGCCCAGCTTGCCTTTTAGGTTTTAGTTCAACTGGCAGTTTTTTAAAAAGAGTTTTCCCTTCCCCCCTCTCAGGAAATATTGTGATGCAGTTTTGTTCTGATTTCTCTACCGCCTCTCCCATGACTTTTCCGTATTCTTAAAAAAATTAAGGACGTTAGCTGTGAGGGTCTTACCATTTCGGCAGTCGCTGGTTCTCTGAAACAGAAGAGAAAATAATTGAAAACCGGTGGATATGCCATTATTTGATAATTGGTGGCCGGTATGAGGTCCTCCCCAAGGACTTGACCAGCCGCCGTGAAATCCTGTTTAATACACTTAAAAGAAACCGACAACAAATAAAAAGTAATTAACATAAAAACAAAACCTAATATTAAATAAAATTCACTTGTGCCTTTTTGGTCTAAAATATTAGCCAACATGTCCAATAGCCTTGTTAAAACGAATAGAGCAATCGACAACTCGTGTGTCACAGTACTGCGGAGATCCGGCCCGACGCGCCTGGACCCCCGCATTATCCGGGCCGTTCTACCACGTCTGTTCGGGTCTCTCATCGTGACTTGGTACAATAACCAAGAACGATCGTATTGTTTGGGGGAACAGCCAAAACCCGGATACGCGGAAAGACATCGGATTCCCGTTACGACGTCTAACCGTAACGCGGCAAGCATAATTTACAATTAGAAAACAAGCTATATATCATACAGGAGATAACCTCTAACAACCTTCACAACAAGGGGTTATATTGCACATAATACCTTAGCCTGAGGGTCGATTGGTGGTTGTCCCGCAATCACTTGCAGTGCATCCGTGGAAACTATCCTATACGATTGTGTAACTGTCAGCGGTGCCTTCCATTGCGCTTTCTCAAGGTGCCGCCCATTCGACAGATTTGGGACAGGCTGCATTATTGTTAACTAAAAAATCTAACAGTTGCAAATGTACACCTGACCTAGGCACCTGTCGCGCAGAGTCTCCTTAATAATGGTTATATCTCTCTGAGAGGTTATACCATTGTTATCAAAAACCGACAGCTAGAGCAAGTACACAATACCTTGCTACCAGTTTGTAATCTTAATAGAGGTAGGTTATGTTAAGCAGAGTTTACATTATTGTTATAAAAATATCACAATTGAGTGTGCAGCCCAACCTAGGCCTAGGTAACCTTTTATAGCCTTCTTAACAATGACAAGTTTTTCTTTCTGAGAGAAGATTACGTCATTGTTCAGAAGAAAAAAATACTGAAATTTCTATGATATTCAATCGTAAACATAATACGGCATCATTAACAATTAGACATCATTTGAACCGTCGGGTAACAAACATGACATAATCTCCATGAAATCTCACAATATCGTTACCCCAGTTTGTCATTCTTTTTTTAGTTGTGTCCGGTTATGCCTTTATTAAGAAGAGATTACATTATTGTTATAAAAATATCATAGAGTGTGCCACACTCCTAGGCCTGGGTAACCAGTTTGTAGTCTCCTTAATAATGACAGGTTAAGTCTCTCTGTGTGAAGGTTACATCAATGTTAAGGAGAACAAAAGTTATATTTCGATTATGACATTCATTTTGATTACTCGTTAATAAGAGAAAGGTTATGTCGTGTTAAGGCAGGTTATATATTTGTCAACCACAAAATATATCCTGTTGGTTGCACGTGCAACCATCGCTAGGTGTTCATGTAATCCGTAATAAAGAGCGGACTAGTTCGATTTTTTTAAAGGGCAGGTAACATTATGGTTAACCAAAAAATAAAAAAATGTATAACCTGATCTAGGTCTAGTTTGAAGCCTTCTTAACAATGACAGATTGTTTTCTGAGAGAAGGTTACATCACTGTTAATAAGAAAAAATACTCAAATAACCTTTGATAAACCAACTCAATATGCCTTGTCAGATGAAGTTGCATTATTGCTAACCAAAAAAGTAGAATTTGGAAGTATAGAACCCGACCTAGGTACTCTACTCTCCAGAATAGCGATCGGACAGTTTTATTATTTCTAACATCGTTGTTAACGTTACAAGTTGAGATATTACATCCGGGTTATGCCTTTTTGAGGTTATTTCATTGTTCAACGAAATAGGTTCAGGGATTTTCCCACCAATTCAACGTGAAAAGTTTCAAAGTTATTGTGCTCCAACGGAAACCGGTCAACCTCCTTAAAATAGGCAGTTCGTCTATTTTAGGTAAGGTTATATTATTGTTAGCCGAAAAGTATACATAAGTGTATAATCTGACGTACGAAAGATTAAAGGTTCCTTTCTTAGGAAGGTTATGTAATTGTTTACAGATAAAAGTATACGTGTTATTTTTTCAAAGCAATTTATAAATTTTGATTATAACTAAAAACTTAAAACGCCTTTTTTTATTTAGAGGGTAAAGCTAGTTTTAAGTTCGATAACCTTACAATAACCTGATTTTTATAAACCAAGAAGAGGGGCCATATAAAGGTTATGGCCCGACCTTGGGGACACCGCAAGTCAAGTCCGACTTTCATTTACTGCAGCAAACAACCTGTAATGAAGCCTTTGTTATGAAAGTAGTAGAATTTGTAAGAGGTTTCACCCTAATAACCTTTCTATGTACCAGATATATTGTATGTTCTTAAGGGGTAAGGTTGGTTAAGTAAATAGATAACCTGACTAAAACCTCCCAATACATAATCTTTGTGTCTGTGACTCATTGAAACGTTCCTTATAATCTTGCTATAAAATGGATAACCGGTGGAAACCTCCTGATATCCAAACCAGACTAGAACCACACCTCTGTTTACGCAGGTTATGAAGCGTTCCGGGGAGGTTACTCGCTGATTAATCCATAGTTTTTTATATAAAAATTATAAATAATTATTTAAATCAAATCTGTACTTTTTTAAAGGGCACTTTTAGTAAAAAAACTTTTGAGTAAGGCTTCGAGTCTAATAAATGACACCTATTAAACAGTGAACCCCCTCTTTAGAGAGTCACTCTTTTTTAACAGTGCCCTTTAGTGACGTCGCCCCCTTTAAATAATGACGTCCCCCCTTTTATGCGGTGACTTCGCTTTCTTTTGCCTATGACGTCACACAGGATATTTTGTTTCACTTTATATAGAGACAGACTGAGAGAGAGTAAAAGCTCCAGAACCGATTGTAGTTGTTTCACTATAGTTGCGTCTGTCGAGAGTAAAAAAAGCCCCACCTATTGACAATGTCTTATTTACGTGTTTACCGATAAATCCAACCTTGGACCCGGTCCTGAAGCGAAGGGGGCTTTTTGTCTTGTACCCAGGATAAAAAGGCCTCGTTTCGGTAGAATGAATAAATACGATTCCACGTTTAAAAAAAAGCGTCCGCGTCACTGTTTCAACATGGTAGTTAACACCTCGTGGCACGAGGGACGAAGAGAGAAAACAAACCCTCGACAATGTGCCAATTTAAAAATTTTCGCCAAGCCCTTCCCTTCCTTGCTGACATGCTTCTTTCAAAATTCAAGTCGAATTGCTAGTCGAAATAGTTCAAAATAAATATCACAAACTGAACTCAGCTTTTAAGACACTCGATTTAGGAAGCCCGGGCAAATAAAAACAACCCAAATTTATAACCATTAACTTTGATGTTTAAAGCAAACAGACCGTTTATTATATACATTATCATTTTTACACTGAAAAAAAGCATTTTCAATTTAAGCCGATTTGGAGGTGTTTATGTACACTGTCAACAACAGTAGGCGTACACCTGTGGCGTGGGCGGCCGGTTCGGGTCGCATGAGGTTATATAATTGTTCTAAATTTTTCATTTAAAAAAGTCGCAGTTACGAATGTATTTTGTGCTTGAAAAAAAACCCGTCAGATTAGAAAAAAAAACTCTGGTGGGATGTTCTGAGCGCAGAAGGTTAGTCAAGGTTATAATTTTTTTCATATCAGAAAAGTTGCAGTTAATATCTACTTTGTGTCTGAAAAACACGTGGCAAAATCTCCTCAGTTAGGTTATAAAAACAAGCCTGATTTATTTTCTGAGTGCATGAGGTTATGTCTCTGTTATAAAAAAATTTCATATCAAAAAAGATGGCGGTTACAATGCCCGTCAGTTTCACTACTCGAAATTTATTTGTGATAAATTTTGAAATGAATACTGGAAGTCTTGGTTATAGTGGCTATGTTACTCAAACAGTAAAATGTTAGGTTATATTTCGGGTAGTAAGTGGTATCATGCTTACAATTTTTTACGGCTCAAAATATATTCCTTCTAAAATATATGGTGGTTATTTGGCTGTATTGGAAAGAACTGGCATCTGATTATCAGATGGGGAGGTTACATGCTGCTTACATGCTGCTTACATAATATATTCAGCCGATTTTTAAATTTTTCTTACTTAAAAAAATCGGGTTTGTAGCTATGTTATTCAGATACTACAAAAAAAGTCAGGTTTCGAAGCTATGTTACTTAGACTTCAAGTCGTAAGAGGTTATGTCACGTTTGCAACATTTTACAACCCAAAATGTATTAAGAGAAAATCCTGGAGACTAAATTGAATGTATTCGACGCATGGTGAAGTTACTTGGCTATTATAGTGTTACAAACATATGTAGGGAGGGTCGTTCCATGCTGGTTTCTTACTTTATACATCAGTTGTAAATTATTACGTTGAATTATACTGGTAGGTTACAGTTAATTATAACCTCCAGAGGTAGATAACAATTATGAAACCTGGCTGTCTTGCAGAAAAACTATCATATCCTTTTGCCGCTGCTGGCTTGAGGATATGTTAAATGTTCGGAGGAAGGTTACGTACATGTTTACAAATAGTTCTCTTATTTAAAAGAAAAATATTAATTTAATTTATTTTAAAACGCTTATTTTTATTTACTGGGCAAAGTTAGGTTAGAGAATTGTTTACAGAGTAAGGTAGGTTGCAGATAAGTTGAGGTTATAACATCAGATGCCGTCATATTAATTTCTAAACCAAATTTTGAAGCTGGTGTATCTGTTACGTTTTAAAAGTGTTAAGGATACAACTGTTACAGGAAGATTACTCTGCCTTGGGATTTTAGATTATCCTTGAGAAAAATCTCGTTAAAGTTACCAAGATAGTGTAACTGCTATAGAAAGCTTGTCAAGTTAAAAGTTTATTTGCGATAACCTACCATCACTGTTATTGATAACTTTACTTAGTAGAAAATAACGCCATTTTTTAATATTTTCCATAACACT